AACTCTAAATCTAAAAGAAGCAAACAAAGCAACTCCATGAAAGTGGGTACTTTCAATGTATTTTTTAAAGATTTATTTATTGTTTTATTTGAAAGGCAGATTTACAGGAGAGAGAGAGAGAGCTGTCCCATCTTCTGGTTCACTTTCCAAATGGCTGCAACAGCTGGCTCCTGGCTCCGGGCTTCGGATCAATTCAGGATCAGTTCAGCTCTTGCTGTTGCAGCCATTTGGGGAGTGAACCAATGGATCAAAGACCTTCTCTATCTCTCTTTTTAGCTGTGTAAAATCTCCCTTTCAAATTAAAACAAACAATTTTTCTTAAAATTGAACTGAGTATTGCTAGCAAATCTTGCCTGTTCATTGAAAGTTGTAGGAGTGATTTGAGGGATCAACTGCTAACATCCTGCACATGAGAAAGGTGTTAAAGTTGGCAATTTTTGATCTCTCTGGATAACTGTTGGAGGACAGGGGAGAGGGATAATTTTTAAGGATAAATATAATAAATTCATTTATCTTGCATTCTCAGGCTAAAAATCTTCACGCAGACAGATCTGCCAGTCCATTTGCTCATGTCTCACAGTCACGTTCCTGAGGTGTTTTGGGGCTCTGAAACCTTTCCTGACCAACTGAGCACAACAAGCACAACGACAAGGGAACAAGGGAACAAGGGGACAAGGGGACAGCCCCAAGGCCAATATTCCTGGCCGGCTGCGAGTGACAGATGTCTTCCCCAGCTCAACCCCCCCCCCATCCCTGCTGACCACACGGAGACACAGAATGCTTCATCTGGTATTTTCCATTTCACTTCTCTTACAAAAACAATGCCCGAGCACACAGGGGTCAGGAACACATCACATAAAATGTTAAATATGGTATGTCACCTCTCATCAATAAGCTTAGGGTTATTCCAGATTCTGGGACTTGTAAAATTCTGGAGCACTGATCTGACACAGGTAACATCAACTCTTCCAGGAGTCACAGTTTCATGCAATGTAACATGTTTGACAGAGCTAGAATACCAAAGCGGAAGGTTTTGCCTGAAGATTATTATTTTCCACTCTAACACCAACTTTCTGAGTCTGAGTGTGGCAGGACACACAGTGGAGACACAGTACTCCACAGCCGTAAAATGCTCTGTTTACTTTTAAAATATTTCAAATATTAAATGGACCAAAAGGAAAATAAATATCATCTGAAAATAAGTAGGGAGAAAAAAACCCTTTAAGCAGTTACCTATGTACCTATGTAACTACTTCCAAAACCTCAAATGTGTTCCGTAATGAATAAGAAACTGGACATTCTTTCTTGGACTATTACCAGCTTTGAGAAAAAGAGAGGACAAGAGACAGCCTGCCTGGCGACTTCACAGAGGTTCTGGCCTTCTGTTCACATGCTCGTCATGACAGGTGCAGCCCCTTCCCTGGCTCCATCTGTGGCCTGGCTGAGCACTAAAACTGGCCTCTGCACCAGCAAGAAGCATATGGGCTGGGATAGGCTTGGCATCTCCGTTCTCTTAGTGTCTGCTGTCTGCTTGTCTTAGCTTGTCCCTTGAGTTGCTGTAGATATCTTGGTCATGACTCACTGCAAGTGTTAAGCACATTTTAAAAGCAACAGTTGATATAAGGAACATATGATACGTACAGCGAAGATAGGAAGCACAATAAAATGCACGCTGTAAATCTCTAGCATCAACACCCCTGCTGCAGATCCCTGTTCCACAGCTAACCCCTCAGAGCTAACGCTGAGCTTAAACCTTGCTTACCCCTCTTCTCTCTCTCTCTTTAAATAGATTTTGCAACTATATTATTAACCAGCACTTCTTTTGTCTATACTGGGTCCTTTATAATGGTATCAAATGATATATAATTCTGTCAGGTTTGCTTTTTAAGTAACATTGTACTTTTAGTAACATTTGTCCCTGTTGATGACCCTAGGAGGTAATTCATTTGACTTTACTGTCATATAATATTCCATCATGTAAATATAGCCAACGTTTCTTTACCCATTCGCCTGTCCATGTAAATTGCTATTCTTTCTAGATTATTGGCTTAAGAATTTTTCTATAAAAATCCTTGCAAATGTCTCTGAGTGCATGTGCCAGATTTCTTTTACAGTGCACAGCTAGTTGCGGGATTGCCGGGTTACAGGCTATGTGAATGACTAACACTGGAAGCTAGGGCCAAGTTGCTTTCCAAGCAGTTCCAGCATCTACTCTTCTACTGGCATGACAAAAAGGATCGTGTTGCTCCACATTCTTGCCAACACTTGGTATTTTCAGACTTCTTAATTTTTTTGCAGTCTAGTAGGTGTGAAATAGAATTTCAATGTGGTCTTAATTTACATTTTACTGCAAGCTAATGAGTTCTTTTTATATGTCTAGTTGTCATTGGTTTCCAGTTCCATGAGATCTTGGTTCATCTGTCCATCTTTCTGATTAGATGTTTTCTTCTTGATTTCCAATACTTTTAATCTTCTGATTATTATACTTTGTCAGGCATATAAGTTGCAAAACTGCCTGTGCTTTTATTTACTTTGGGCCAAAGTTCTTGTGCTGGCTTCTCTAATCAAACCCTCCTACCAAGGCCCAAAATGGGAGGAATTGGAGAAAAGAAGAATTGATTTTCTAGCTGGTTTTTAAAATTTTGCATTCAGAAAAGAACTTTCAAACTAACTACATTTTCCTCCACATTTACTGGCAAAGAATGTAAACTGATTTTTAAAACAAATTTATTTATTTTTTATTGGAAAGGTTTATAGAGAGCAGAGACAGAGAGAAATATCTTCCATCTGCTGGTTCACTCCCCAAGTGGCTGGAGCTGAATAGATCCAAAGCCAGGAGTCAGGAGCCTCTTCCAGGTCTCCCATTCTGATGCAGGGTCCCAAGGCTTTGGCCCGTCCCTCCACTGCTTTCTCAGGCCACAAGCAGGGAGCTAGACGGGAAGCAGAGCAGCTAGGACATAAACCAGTACCTATATGGGATTCTGGTGCACGCAAGATGAGGACTTTAGCTGCTAGGCTACTGTGCTGGGCCCTTTTTAATTTTTTAGTATTTACTTATTTGAAAGGCAATGGGACTAAGGAAAAATACAGTTCTCTTATGTGCTGATTCACTCCCCAAATGGCTGCAAGTGCCCAGGGCTAGCAAGGCTTCAGCCTGGAGCCAGGGACTTTGTGGTAGTTTCTTTCGTAGTGGGGAGGGAGCCCAAACACTTGGGCTATCTCTGATATTACCCCAGAAACATTAGCAGAGGAGTTATATTGAAAGTGGAGCATCAAGGACTTCAACTGGTACTCATATGGGATGCATACTGTTGACAAAACTCAGGAATTATCATACATTTCTATCTCAATTAAGCTGATTTAAAAGGCAAAAATAGGGCCTGCCAGCTTAAACACAGGCTTAAGCTGGCTTGCATCCAGCTTATCGTTAATGAACTTCTTTGGAGCAGTAGGTGATGGCTTAATTGTGTCCTCACCACACGTGTGGAGACTAGGGTGGAGTTCCTGGTTTCTAATGTTAGCTTGGCCTTGTCTTAGCTGTTGTGGCCATTTTGAACATATGGGAAGTGAACCAGTGGATGGAAGAATCTCTCTTCTCTACTTTCTGAAACTCTTCTACAAATAAGTAAATAAATAAATAAACCCTTAAAAAAATAGATACATTTAAGAATCATCACCACTATGGTTTGTAGGGGTATAAAAAATCCTCCCCTGGGGGCTGGTTTGCATCCTGACTGCTCCACTTCTGGTTCAGCTCCCTGCTAATGTGCCTGAGAAAGCAGTGGAAAACAGCCCGAGTCCCTGGGATCCTGCACCCATGGGGGAGATCCAGAGGACGCTCTGGGCTGTGCGCTTCGGTCTAGCATAGCTGTGTGGCTATTTGGGGAGTGAATCAGCAGGTGGAAGATTTCTCTGTCTCTGTTCACTCTCTCTGTAACTCTGCCATTCAAGTGGGTAAATAAATCTTTATATGTATATATATATTCTTCCTTATCATATCATGGCTTTCTCTGACCTTTTCTTCTAAAGCTTGATATGTACTATTTCTCACAGTTGGGCAGATAATCCACTTGGAATTTATTTTTAACTTTATTGTGAATTTAATTTTTTTTCTTCTAGAGATTAAGTTAGCTGGCACAACACTGTTGATTAAATGACTTATACATTTCTATTCCCTTTGAATTTTATTTCTGTCATATCAGACATTCATATTAACCAGGGTTAGTTTCCAGATTTTTAAATTATGTTCCATTAAGTCTGATGTCAATCACTGTATCAATACTACCACCTTAATTATGACAAACGTTATACAAAATCTTTAATAGGGAAGGTCATTATTCCTGATCTTCTTCACAGTTGTCTTATAGATGCCTGAGCTTCTGCTCTTTTGTATAAATTTCAGAATATTAGTCTATTACATATGACAACAACTACACTATTCTTTCACTTTGGACAGGACTGATAATCACTGGGGCTGGCACTGTGACACAGGAGGTTAAACCGCTGCCTGCAGTGCTGGCGTCCTAGACTGGTGCCAGGTGGAGTCTCAGCTGCTGCACTTCCCATCCAGTGCTCTGCTAATGCACCTGGGAAAGCTGCAGAAGCCCGCTCAAGGACTTGGGCTCCAGCACTCCTGTGCGAGCCCTTGAGGCAGCTCCTGGCTCCTGGCTTCCCCTGGACCAGTCTGGGCGGATGCAGCCACTCAGGGCATTAATCAGCGGTTGGAGGGGCTGTCTCCCTCTCTAACTCTGCCTTTCAAAAATATAAATAAATCATAAGAGAGAGAGAGAATTGCTGATTACCATCAATTAATACTGACCTGGTAGCACTGACCATACTATACATTTGCTCAAAGTTCTGAACTCCTTGGATCATGTTTCATGATTCTCCTTATCATTCCCCTCATTACTGTTGGAGTCCATTTTAATCAAAGAATATAATCTGTTGACATTTATGATCTTTATAAATATAATTGAAATTATGTCTTTTTTTTTTCTCCAAGGGGGTACACCTTTCCTGGAGGTCATACAATACCAGGTCGATGCTCAGAGTGGACAGAGCAATTTCCTATTCCAATTCCAGGCTCCAAAAATCCACTTAATATTTTGTCCTCAGATAGAGGATGTATCAGATATTAAAGTGATAAAAACAGATATTACACTAGAAATTAACCAAAAGGCCGAGAAGCGATGAAGCTATTTCTATCATCTCTTTATTTCCACATGGCCCTCTCCCACCCTCCTAAATCTATGTTCTATATCTCTTTAACTTTTTCTTTCTTAAGTTTGGAAATTACAGATTCTATTTTTAATATTTTCAAATTATTGTTTTTTTTTCCTGCACGTGGCAGAGACCATACCATTCTCATCTTTATTGACATTGAAAAGAAAAAAATTAAAGCAGAAGATGAGAAGAAAAGGCAAAAGGATTAACGAAGAGTGGGGGGTCACATCCTTTGAAGTGGCAGCAGAACCAAAGTCCTTGAAGAAACAAAGAACTCAAAGTCCTCAAGTGCACCGAAGCAACATCACTTTCCTTTGTATGTCTCAGCCATTCAGGTGCTCAAGGTCTCCTTTTATTGTAACCATAAAATGGCTCATGACTTTATTTTTAAAATTTTAGTGTTAGCTGAGCTGTCTTAAAATACTGTGAGACTTTGTTATTAGAAAAGGTCTACAATAAGTTGGTACAGGCATACCAGAAAATGGCATATTTTATATCTTAAACTTATGGGAGACCATTGAAAAAGAGCAGTATTAACATCACATTTACCATTTTGATGAATTTAACACATAATATTTAGAAATTCTGAATTCTCAATATTATTTGATTGTAGGGAAGAACTACAATTTTGTCGACAAAAAACTTTTTTTTTTTCTCGTCAAATTTCTGTAATTTTTATTTGGCAAAGATAAGACTACCTTCACACACAGCTTAATTTTACACAATACTTTAATACTTTTCAGTTAAGACTTACTTCTAGGGCCTGGCGCAGCCTAGCGGCTAAAGTCCTCGCCTTAAACGCACCAGGATCCCATATGGGCGCCGGTTCTAATCCCGGCAGCTCCACTTCCCATCCAGCTCCGGCCTAAAGCCTTGGGACCCTGCTCCCACTTGGGGAATGATTCATCGCACCGGCCGTTGTGCTCATTTGGGGAGTGATTCATCGGATGGAAGATCTTCCTCTCTTTCTCTCCTCCTCTCTGTATATCTGACTTTGTAATAAAAATAAACAAATCTTAAAAAAAAAAAAAAAGACTTACTTCTAAGGCCCTTTTACAAGGACATAGAAGTATACCATTAAAGAGTACTTTCTTGTACTCATTAATAAGCCACTTAATATTTATAAACCCATTATTAAATTAGAAAGGCAACTAAGGATAACAAAGATTAATCACCACAAACCCAATGCAAATAAACACCAAATAAACAACTTGGAAGTTTATTTGGCAACAGTAAGATTGAGTCCAACAAAAAGCAAAGACCACAGTCACAAAGCAGGAAAGAAGGGATCATGACAATCTGGACACCATTACGCAAATACCATCAAGCTTGTTTTCCTTTGTTTCCACATTTGCACTCTTTCCCGGGACACTCAAGAAAGCCTACTGCTCTTCTTTCCTGTGGGTCTCCGAGTTTAAACACACAGGCAAGCTAGTTTATCCACTTGATACAGTTTTAGCTAAAGAGCAGTCCAAATTTTAGAAGTCCCAACTGCTAGTGATTTGAGCTGCATCAAAAAAGATTGAGGCCCAGAGCGGTGGCCTAGTGGTTAAAGTCCTCACTTTGCACGCACCAAGATCCCATGTGGGTGCCAGTTTGAATCCTGGCTGCTCCCACTTCCCACCTAGCTCCTTACTTGTGGCCTGGGAAAGCAGTGGAGGACAGCCCAAAGTCTTGGGCCCCTGCACCTGTGTGGGAGACCTGGAAGAAGTTCCAGGCTCCCGGCTTCGGATGGCCTCAGCTCTGGTTGTTGCAGCTGCCTGGGGAGTGAATCACTGCATGCAAGATTTTCCTTTCTGTATATCTGACTTTGCATTAAAAATAAATATTTTTTAAAAAGTGGCAAACTAGTGAGTATTTGCCTATCATCTAATCAGGTCTTGATACATACATGATGTATTTTTTGAAGTCTTATTTTTATTGGAAAGGCAAATTTACACAGAGAAGGAGAGACATGGAGAGAAAAGTGCAGGTCCTCAACCTGGACTCCTGCTGTTTCTGCATTCCCAGTGCTCCATGACACCATGTCTCAATGCTGACCAAAGCCAGGTGCTCTAAACTTTTCCTTTATACATGGATAAACCAGTTTCCCTGGAACAGCCACCAATTTTGCCTTGTGCTTCAGGAAATTTGTAGCAGGAGCTTCAGAATCCCTTTCCAAGACTGTTATTTTGACAGATCATTTTACTTCCTTTTCTCACCCAACCACTTAAACTGTTCCTTGGCATATGCTAGTTTCCCTTGGGATATGCAGAAGACTGTGATGTGTTAAACTACACCCCACAAAGGTTTGCTGGGGACACCTCCAAAGAATGTGACCTTGCAAGCGGATGATCTTTAGGAATGTAATCAAACAAAAACGAGGGCATTGGGGGGTGCCAACTCAGTAGCACACTGGCACAGTGAGGTGCACGGAGGAAGGAGAACACCATGTGAACCTAACGGGAGAGATCGGAGTGCTGCTCGAACACCCTGGCACACAACAGCAGCCTGGGGAGAGCTACAGCAATGATTTCTCCCTCACAGCCAGCACAGAAGGAAGCCAACCTGGCCAACGCCTGACCCAAGCCTCCAGCCTCCAGAACCAGCAGTCAACAAAATTCTGGTTAAACCACTAGGTTTGTGTGATCTAGCACATATTTCATGATTAAAAAAAAGTATGACATGATAAAAAGTTAATGAAATTTGGCCACAGCAGAAAATTTGCTTTATTTTTGAGTGAGAGTAATTCTTTCCTATAATTGAATTATCACTATTTGAACATATTAATGGGGGGCTAGTGCAGGGGCTCAACAGGCTGATCCTCTGCTTGTGGCACCTGGCATCCCATATGGGTGTCAGTTCTAGTCCCAGCTACTCCATTTCCAATCCAGTGCCCTGCGTATGCACTGGGAAAGCAGCAATGGATGGCTCAAGTGCTTGGGAGTCTGCACCCTCATGGGAGACTGGGAAGAGACTTCTGGCTCCTGCATCTGATCGCCTCAGCTCTAGCCATTGCGGCCACTTAAAAAGTGACCCAGCGGATGGAAGATCTTTCTCTCTCTGTAAATCTGCTTACAAATTTAAAGCAATACATAAATCTTTTAAAAATGGAGAAAATATTAATGACCTCAGTAGTAATCTGAGTACTTTCTCAAACTTCTTCTTGAGTTTTGAGTAACTGTTCAGTGCATTCCTATTTTGTTTATAGTTTCCCTATGACTTTCACTTTTATGATTTCTTTGGCAGGTGTGTTTTTGCAGCACTGATGGTATTGTTAAAAGTAAGAAAACCAACAATTAGTAATTCTTGGGTCTGCACTCTAATCCTACTATCTTAGTATCTCCCAGGATCTGGAAAACTGTAACTTGTGATTCACATTTAATTAATACATTTATAAAATATGAAACATAAAAGCTAATATGTGGAATACATGAGCATTAAAATTATTTTCAAACTGTCCTGTATTGATGATTTTCATCAATTCTGAGAAAACTGAAAATAAATACTGAAATAGCAATTTTGAAACAGTAAAAAATATGAAATTGATCTGCAACCGTATTTCATACAGAAAATTCTATTTTTTTTAAAAATGCTTTTGTTATTTTTACTGGAAAGGCAGATACACAGAGAGAGGAAGATCTTCCATCTGCTGGTTCACCCCCCAAGAGACCTCAACAGCCAGAGCTGAGCTGATCCGAACCCAGTAGCCTCAAGCCTCCTCCAGGTCTCCCACGCAGGTGCAGGGTCCCAAGGTTTTGGGCAATCCTCAACTGCTTTCCCAGGCCACAGGCAGGAAGCTGGAAGGGAAGTGGAGCAGCTGGGATTAGAGCCAGCGCCCATATGGGTTCCCGGTGGATGCAAAGTGAGGACTTAGCCACTAGGCTACCGTGCTGAGCCCAATACAGAAAATTCTTACTTATAAATTTCCAAATATCATTTAAATTGTGCCATATCTGGTACTGTGACATGGTGGTTAAGCTGCAGTATTCCCTTATCTGAGTGGCAGTTGGAGTCCTGACTATTCCCTTTCTGTTCCTGCTCCCTATGGCGCTGTGCCTAGGAAAGCAATGACAGGTGGTCCAGGTGCACGGGTCTCTGCCACCCATGTGGTAGTTCAGGATGCAGTGCCAGGCTACTGGCTTCTATGTGACCCAACCCAGACCACTGTATTCAACTGGGGAAAAGAACGAGTAGTTGGAAATTCTGTAAGTAATCTCAAAAAGTGATCTCCTATAAAACACATAAAAGCAACACACGGAAAGCAACACAGTCATTTTCAGATGGGCATGCTGAGCAGACTGCCTCTTGCTGAGTATTGCTTCAGTAGAACTTGCAGTAACTATGGAAATGTTCTATTTTTGTGCTGCCCAATAAGGTAGCCACTGAACACACCAAATGTGGCTATTGCGACTGAGGAAGTAGATTTTAAATGTTCCTTGATTTTGATTGACTTTTAAAATAGCTGCCTGTGACCATGGCCGCAGAGCTCCTAAGCTTACCCCTGTGAGAACCATTTTCCTTCTCTACTCACTTAACAAAATGGTTCTCAACCACTGGCAATTTTCCCCACTTGATGACATATGGCAATATCCGGAGACATTTTTGGCTGCCATCATTAGGGAATACTACTGGCATCTGGTGCAAAGAGGCTAGGGATGGCACACATCCTGCCACGCAAGGATAGCCTCTTGCCACAGAGAATTCTCCACCTGAAAATAGCAACGAGTGCTGAGGTTAAGACACTAACATGTAAAAGGGATCTTCAAATGAAACTAAAAATACTTAGCAATTATTTTTGAGCGGCTGTAAAATATTCTAAGATGAGTGGGTTTGCTCATTATTTGAGGTAATCTTCAAGTACTGTTGGGTAATTCCATCCCACCTGCTACTGTTTTCTGGTAGCTCGGTGCATTTGGCCATCTCACTGGTTTCTCAGTATGGTGTGACTTTCGTCAATACAGCATCATGACTGAAACTAGCAAATTT